CTTTTTTTTCCTTCATAACAAACATTGTAGGAACCCAAGTCCTAGAAAGAAGAGGCTGTGGCTGGATACATCAAGAGTTATGAAGATCTTCACAAAAGTCGTCAGGGCTCTCCACAGTTTTCATCCTGAACTCACTGTGACTTTCTGTGAAAGGCCCTATAGATCAGCATTGACATTGTCTTTTGACTTCCCCAGTTACATATATGTTGCTATATGAAGGAGAATATACACCAGTCCTTAGCTGTGCCCAGAGGTTGAAGGAAAAAATTTCATTATCCCAAGACAATGTACAGCCATTGTCATCACTGTTCTCAAATTTTGATGTCACTTTTGCGGTCTTTATGTACAAGTGATCATTGCATGCACATTTGAGGCTACAAAATCTGTATTTTTAGAGACATTCCCATTATATAATTTAAAGAGAGGAAAGACTTTTTAAAATGCTAGACACACTGTTGTCTGAAGGGGGCAATCTCATATGTAAAAGTGCAAATAATCCCTGCAAAATTGAGCTGGGCAAGTGATATCTACACAGTATTCTTGTGTGGATGAAATTCTGTGGACAACTTCAATTCACTTGTACTTGCAGGTCCATTGGATGTGCAGCCTGAAGGCTGATCTGCTGTTTTTTTCACAGTTTTCATATTTGATAGTAAGTGCTTTACATACAAATATTGCAAATTGGTTTTGCTATATTAAAATTTCCTTAAAATGCACTTTCAGTGATTGTAGCACAGTACAAAAGCAGTGGGCCAAAACTGGCTCTGTAGAACACCTGTAGAAGTCCATTGGTATCAGTGACATCATTTCTTTTCCTTAATTTTTAGAACACATTATGCAGCCTATCATGGGCTAATGTGCACATGACAGATGGTGCAATAGTCCCTTCAGCAGAACACAATCTTGTAGAAATTGTGAAACTTCAACAGCTAATATAAACCACTGAAATACAAAATGCCTCTTTTAAATCCAGAACTCATTATTTTGCAAGGGTGTTTATATCACAGGAAAAGGTTGCTGGTCCATCACCATAAAAGTGTCCTCAGGTCAAGGAAACAAGTATAGATGTTTGTCTACAAGCAACATCCGTTTTTCACTCCCAGCTTTCTTTGAAGAGTTTTCCACCTTTCATTGCCCTCTACCATCTCCAGCTCGAGAGCACTGCCACTCATGGATGTGCCCATTTAGGTAGGGGACAACAAGCAGAAGGACCATTCAGTCACCCCACAGCTGGATGCTGTAATGTACTCAGTGCTCCAGCAGCTGAGTAGCAGCAGGCACAGTTAAATCAGTCATAACAAAGAAATTTCATGATTTTCCCTCCTTCCAGATTGCACTTTTCCACCTTACAGTGATGTCTGAAACAGGAGCAGAAAACTCCTCTTTAAAATATTCATCAGAGCTCTCAGAACAACTTTACTGCTGTGTTTTTCCTTTGTGGAAAAAGCATTGCCATGTCTGATGTGCAGAATAATAATAGAAGTTGATTTTTGATTCTATGGAGCTTGCTAATCGCCGTGAAGTATGCTTAGAGACATGAAATACTCAATGTAATTTCTTTGAGGCAAGAGGCATCTTTTTTTTTCATTTGTACAAGTATTAGCACAAATGGGTTCTGCCTGACACTTAATTACTATCACATTAGTAGAACAAGTGATTGCCTTTGTCGTATGTATTAGGGTTGTTAATATAGGGGCTATTATTACGGTAGGATTTAGTTAAACAATATGCAACGACAGCTGAAACACCTACATCATTTCCTTCTTCTAAAAGAACTACTTCTAACTAAACCTATTCCACTACCTCCATTTTCAAAGCAGACTGAGAGGTTGGCACACAGAAATGCACAATGCTGTGCAGATGAACTATATGCAGAACAAGTAACCTTAAATCCATGGAACAGTCTCCTCTTTATTCACATACTTTTGTAAGTCTTGCACACACCATTTGGCAACACTTATCATTAATGGTGACACAAAGATATTTGAAAGCCTTTGTAATTTCCTGGGTTTAGGAAGATCGAAAATGCAGAAACATTGTATATTTATATTATACAGTCACATTACATAAATGTTCCGTTTTAATGACAAGTATGGAGACATCAAGGAGATGTATTTTTCAGGGTTTTCTTGAGTTGCCCCTCTTTTTTGTCTGTTTTTAACTCTTCATTCTACCAGTTCTCTCTTTAGAAGCCAAAAGTTATATTAGAATTAAATTAAATTTCCTCATTTTTCACTTAAAATGTAAAAACTAGGCCTAGATAGATGAATGAAATATCATTTCCTGAAGGTATTCCGGAGTCTTTAGTACAAGTTGATGACTAAGGTGAAATAATACATGTGACATTTACAGATCAAGTCTCATTTAGAAAATGATTGTCTACTTTAATAATGTTCTTACTTTCCTTTTGTGTCCTTTTCCTTTTGTTCCCGTGTATGTCTGTGTGATATATATCATGTGTAAATATTCTGAGTATTTGAAGTATCTCTGTTTTTCTAGATGAGTAATACTTTTATTTATATAAATATCTAAATACCATGCAAAATATCCTGGCTTTTTGTTTGGAATATGGCAGGTCTTCAACAAAGCAATGTTACACAACAATTCACAGTGTTTAAAAATAAAGGAAGATAGCTTCTGATGAAGACCAGGGCCTTTTTTTCCCTTGTAACCTGGTTAGGATGTCTACCTCTTAGTTTGTCAGTTTAAGAAGCTATACATTTAAACTAGTCAAAATATCCTAGTCACAGTGGCTGACATGAACCATTTAATCTCTGACAGGAGATTTTCCACATCAAAATAGTATTAGAGCAATTGCACAGTCTTAGAGAAAACAAGATGAGTGGCCCACCTGTGCTGTTAAAGAGTGTAATCCTTTCAAAAAGAAAGGTAACATCTTTGAAACAAGACTGATCTTTTAAGACAAAATGTCTTAAGAGTAGGAAAACGGGATCACTTTGGATCATTAGTTACTCAAAGCTTTGCTTCAGAAAGAATTCTTGCAGCCTTTGTAGCAGCATGATGCATAGTTTCAAATGTTACAGTGATGTCTGCAATTTATTTATTTTCTTTCTGTTACTTCCTGTGTGTACTGCTAGCAGTGGTTATCAGGTTTGTAACAAGATGTTACAAACACCTATAAAAAATGGGCAAAGAGGTGCACACTCTCTGCTCTAGGAGACTGTGCTTTTCCAGTCAGAGATACTGGTACATATGCACTGGGAAAGCATCGGGTTCTTTTTTTGGTTTTGGATTTTTTTGAAACTCCAGAGTGAAGGGAAAGACCTTTCATCAACTAGAGAAAGGCAGTGGATGAAAGAGAGAAGCGTATAAAAATACTTTCAAAGATGCTGGTCACAATATATTTCCTTTTTCTTTGTATCAAACTTTTAATAGGATTCTTAAGGTGAGTATTGAATTTCCTATAGACCCAAGTAGACCTAGACCATAAAAGGAAACAGGCATATGTATTGCCTTCAGCCCGCGGAAAAGCTGTCTGAGTCTACTGTGCCTACCAAAATAAAGACCAAAGGGAGAGAAATGCTGTCAGTGACAGCTATATTTCAATGAAAAATGCATCCCAGAACCTGTGATTTATTTGATAAATTTAGCTAATGCATATGATCAGGTGATACAGGACTTAAATTTGTCTGGCAATAGACCCTAGCACAAAAAGCTTTCAATTCATTAGATTAGCACTGAAAATATTAATATAAAAACCAACTTACTGAGTTTGCAGGAGCTGACTGATCCCAAACACTTACTGTTAATAGTAAAGTGTTATCAACACGGACTGTTCCTGTGAGGTTCCTTGGGGATTAGTGCTGGACTCTTTAGCTCTGATTATTCACTCTTCTCTGTTGTAGCTCTTGAAGTAGAAATACAACCCCTGTGTCAGAATTTGCCTGTGGCAGAAAGTTTGGCAGAATGGCCAATGGAGAAGGCAAGTCAGTCAGCTGAATTACCCTGTATTCATTCCTTTAGTGCTTTAAAACCTCTAACATCAGGCGTTTAAGCATAAGTAATGCAGGTCATGGAGTGCTGTGGGACTGTTGTTTCCAGTCAGATTTAGGAATCATTACAGATCAACATGAGCTCAGAAAAGCAAGTTGTGTTACACCTCAACAAGGTAGCATGGGTGTGATACAGAGTTGAATATGAAAATTCTGCTTGGTGTAGCTTTGAGTAAAATGCTAGGCCAGTTTTCAATACTGACATTGAAAAAGTGGTGAAGACACATAAAAATTCATAAATTATTCTTTGGTGAGGAAACCAACAAAAAATGGAACTCAGCCTGTTTATTGTAATGACAGCTGCAAGGTGCTTTTATTAAAGCATGTATTAATGTATGAACTTTCAGAAGCACAAATTTAGAGTATGCAAGGGTTACTAATTAGTGGGACAAAAGCAACTGCTAGAGAAAACCAAAATAGAAATGGAACACTGGCGGGGGGTTTTTAATGAGGGAAAAATTAAATGTTCTAGGGAAATAAATATTTAAAAAAACAAACTAACAAAAAACACCCAAAAAAAACTCAACCAACAAACTAAATAAAAAATTCAGCTTAAAAACTTTCGGATTTTTACTTTTAAGTGGCTTCAAATTAAGACTTGAAAAGACCTACTGGAATACAGGGACAATAATTTAAATTATTTTACATTTGCTACTTGATCAGGCACTTATCGGATCATGATGCACACTGGGAGATTGCTGGATGCCTTTCATTGAGACACGTTAGGATCAAGGCAGGTGCTCTAAGTGTTTGCCTTTCTTTTTGGATATTTGAAGGCTCTTCACATGAGCATTTGAGAGCTCTTCCAGTGCTGCTACTAAGTTATCAACATTATGTCATAGCTCCTGTGTGCATTTCATAATAGCCCTATGACAGGGTGAAGCCTCTGTTTCTTGTTAAACAAAATGTGGCCTGGACAGGACTATACTGCTTTTGCTTGTCTGGCTGCTTGTGGACATAACTTGCCTTGCTCTCTTCCTCTCACAGATTTATTCCTGAGGCTTGGTCTGCATGCAGTGTCACCTGTGGAGTAGGTAGCCAGGTGCGGCTTGTGAAATGCCAAGTGCTCCTCTCCTTCTCTCAGTCTGTGGCTGACTTGCCCATCGACGAATGTGAAGGTCCTAAGCCTGTGTCTCAGAGAGTCTGTTACAGTGGTCCTTGCAGTGGGGAGGGGACTGAATATACCCCAGAGGAGACAGAGCTCCTGTATGGCAGCTTGCAGGAGTTCGATGAGCTCTATGACTGGGAATATGAAGGCTTCACGGAGTGTTCAGAGTCCTGTGGAGGAGGTAAGTGCAAAATGCTTCTGCGCTGGATTTGCTTTCCCTCTTCAAGTGTGTGCTTTGCAGTCAATACCCACAGACATGCTGCTTTGCTATGGCTATTTAGAATCATAGACTCATTTAGGCTGGAAAAAACCTTGAATATCATAGGGTCCAACTATATTTGAAAAGACATGGATAAAACCCGTGAAAAAAACCCACATGCACAACATATTTTAGCCCAGAATGTCTGAGCTCTGCGCTCAGACTGTCACCAAGTGTGATCAATGTATGACATGTTTCTGTTTCCTTTATCAGCGGATCACTCAAAAGGCACTCAAGTAAAAAAGCTGAATGTTAAAGTGGTCTGGTGATATAGGCTAACAGTCACATGCCACTTTTAGCTTTTATCTCTCGGTTTGTTCTGTGCAAGTACAAACATATGGAAGTAAATTCTCGTTCCACAGAAGATGAAATGAATTATTGATATTTTGTGGGCTCAGCTGTTCCCTAACTCCTATCACTAAGTGACATCAGCTCCAATCCTTGTCCAAAAAAACCCCATATGTGCTGTCTGAAACTATCAGGCTTGGCACTCGGAGTTCCTCAAAGTTAACCAAGATCTCAGGTTCAACTTGTTACAAGTTACTAACACACCAGTTCTCTGATATCCTTTTTTTAACTCCTATCATTTTATGTAGCTAGCTCTGACAAATATGGCTACTCCAGTATTTTTTAACTTAAACCTAAATTTTTCCAGTTGTTGTCCTTTTACAAGTTTCAGGAGATTTTAAAAAAAAAAGGATTCCTATAGATAAATACTGTATAACTGAAAATGACTCAGCAATTTAGGAGTGGTTAATAGAGTGATCTGTGCAGATTCACCAGTACTCAGTTACAATCTTTAAAAACATAATGAGTAGAAAATAGCACCAAGGCTTTCTATGCTTACTTTTAGCTTGCTGATGGTGGCCAATGTTTAGAGTAGTTCACAGACAGTTCTCAGGTCATTGATACATTTTCTATGTTTCCTACATAACAAATATAACACTAGTGTAAGCTAAGTGGTGACAAACACTGATTTGACAGGAGTATATGTCATATATTGAGGCTACTAGTGAGCAGTAACAATTTGTCACACTTAATACTGTGGATACCAAAACCTGGATATTTCCTAGAAATATCCTCTTGGAATGTCATTTCTTTGAATATAGAGATTATATGTGTATTTTTCAAATATTACTCACAGTGACTGACTTGAGAGAGATATTTTTCTTCATAAATTTAATCTCTTTCAATTGTCAGCAAAACGTTTTCCCCAAGATTTCTTTTTGTCTGATGTCAACTCCAAACTCTCCAGATTAACAGATGCTGTCAGATATTTTTGTAGCCATAGGTGTAAGACCAGTCAAACTAATTTTATTGGGTTTAGTGTCCCAGGAGAAGAAACTGGATAGATGCAAAAGTAACCTTTCACCTCCCAGAAGCAGCAACCAGAAGGAATGAGTTAGTCATTTAGTCTGCCGTTAGTGGCTTCATTTCCCAGAGCTGTCATCAAATATCATGTAACAATTATTCTATTCTGGTAGATATAAACACAGAAATTCTCATTTGATGGTATTTTGAAAGTGAACCTAAACTGCCTAGATTCACATCACACCATCACACACTTTTGTGTTGTGATTTCCTATTGAGATATCTTTTTTTCAGGAAAAACAATTTTAAAGCAGACAGCTTTCTGTTTTAATAATATTGTGCAGTAAATAATGTTTCAATTCAATTACTTGGCAAATAAACATACTTAGGTTTATATACCTTTTTTCATTATCTCTGTACAGTGAAACTTCTGATGTATAATCAGAGGTCTTTATATTCCCTAAATGTTCAATGACCCATCCCAGATTTATAGCTTATCCCCATTTGCTGCATTGACCTATCAAAAATAGACAGACAGCCATTATCAGTATGTTGACTCGCAATGCAACATTCAAGAGGAAGCAGAAGAAAGTGATTCTAAGCACATTTTTTTGCTGCTGGAGCAAGCCAGATTTTTTCACTATCATATTTTTAGTTCTTGGCATGAGCTGTTAGAGGCAAAAACTTCTGCCAATACATAGTCTAGAAACCACAGACTGGGCACATTGAGACAGGAACATTTTTGGAGGCTGGTTGAATACTGAAAAGTGAAGAGCAGTAGTATCAGAGTTTGGCTATATGAGTTTGATGAAGTAAAACCATCAGCCTGAGAAATGGAGAAAAGGTTGAATTCAAGACTTAGCAGTCAATCATGTTTTGGTAGTCAGCATTGAAACAGACAATAGAAATCTGTTAAGGTAATTGACAGTATTTGGTCAAGAGCTCATCAGTGACACACTTGAGACAGGATAAATTTGAACTGTGGAAGTACATTCAGCTTACAAAATTTTGATCTGAAAAGAAAATCACCCAGCACATAGAGAAGGTGAGTGGAGCTGTATGCCTAGCAGAGTAGTGTCACTAGCATGTGGTAGGACTCAGTGGTTTCTTTCCACAGAGTTAAGAAAAGTGCTTTCCTGGTTACCATGCCTCTGGACCAGCAGTCCTCGCCTGACTTCATCAGACTGGTCATCTTGTCAGGTCTGCACATAAGTTCCATGCAAAGCAGAGACTGGTAACCTGAACACCATGCCATTTCCCATCAGGTAGAGAATGACCTCTGTCTTCAGCCAGGATCAGTCCATTCTGGAGAATCCATGTACCCATGTTTGCTGTACATGATACGATAACATGCTGCAGAGAAGAGTGATTGAGCTGGAAAGATAACGAACATGACAGGGTAGTGAACATCTTGTTCATATATATAAATTTCTTTGGTTTCTTTTCTTAGAAATAAATCACTACCATTTGTTTTTCAATAGACTATCCTTTCTATATTTTTTTTTAAGTCTTTTGGGAAATGACTTGAATAGCAAAACATCTTGAAAATATGGGGCCAACTTGCAGGTATGGAGGGCTTGCTGTGATGATGCTTTGTGGTGTGCAGGTGTCCAGGAGGCTGTGGTGACCTGTCTGAACAAACAAACCAGGGAGGCTGCAGACGAGACGCTGTGTGTAACCAGCCGCCGTCCTCCACAGCTGCTGAAAGCCTGTAGCCTAGACCCCTGCCCACCAAGGTAAGCTTCTTATATCTTATCACCAGGCATACCTTTTTTTTCCAGATTTAAGACAGATGTGATCATTGATGAAGTTGAGAAACTCATCTTCAAGCTCCCTGTGAATTTGAGACCTTTGGGGCAGGGATGTTTGTATCTGGGCTTTAATAAAATGTCTCCTGAAGTACAGGAGAAAACAGGCAGATGAGAGCGGGAGATGTCTCCCCAAGTTGAAGTACCACAGACTCAGTTGTCTGGGCTCAGCAGATCTTTGTTCCTCCCCTGGAACACCTTTCACTAATGCAAAGTGCGGAGAAGTGATGTGAGTGAGTAAAACTCTGCTGCTGTGTGATATAGCTGATCAGTGCAGCCAGGTCACTGTTCTTACCACGCTGAAGACACCAAGGCCAAGGGTCTTTGGTCTTGCCTGGGCATCATTTAATGGATTTTGAGGAATCCATGGCAAAAGCTAAATAAATACAAAAGTGTGTGTGATTTTATAGTCCATTATGTTCCCTAGAGCCTCTTAAATAATATTATCAGTATCAAAACCAGAATGTTAAGGAAGCTGTAACCTCAGACTCGGTGGTCTTTCATTCTGGAGGCACACACTGCCTCAAGCATGCTCTTTCTCAAACTGCAGGGGCTTACAGACTCTTCATGCCACATTCATATTGGCCAGGAAGTGCAAAGCAGAGTAAAATCAAAGGGCAAA